CATGAAAATTCATAATTGTTATATTTTTCTGGTGCTTTTATCATTAGGTTCTTTGTGTTTCTCTAGTAGTGCTTTTTGTCATAAGATCTACTTTGTCTAATAATGTAGCTGCTTTTTTTTGGTTAATGTCTACTTAATATATTTTTTGTATTATTTTCAACTTTTCTGTAGTCTTATATTTTCAATATACTTTCTATTTTCTAAGATTTTATTTATTTATTTTTAGAGAGACGCTAAGGGAGAGAGAAAGAAAAGGAGAGATATAGCTGTTGGTTGCTTCTCACATTCCCCCAACCTGGGACCCAGCCCACAACCCAGGCATGTGCCTTGACCAGGAATTCAACCAGCAACCTTTCAGTTTATAGGCTGGCGCTCAACCTATTGAGCCACACTAGCCAGGGCTCAATATACTTTCTATCAGCACATAATTTTTAATGGAGTCTGACAACCTTTGTCTTTTCATTGGAACATTTAGTCTATTGTTATTTAGTGTAATGGCTGATACATTTCAGTTTAGATCTTTTTTTCTATTTGCTTTCTTGCTTGCTTTTTTTTAATGATTACTTAGTTTTTATTATTACATTAGCAATTAAACACTTTTACCATTCTGTTCTTTGTACAAGTTACCACACACATCCTTGACTTACGAAGTTTAATACAAATCGGTACCTTTACCTTTTCCTGTACAGTGCAAGGAGCAGGACACTTTAGCTTCATCCTAGCAGATATGCTGCTTTGTTGTATATTTTACTTCTTTACATATGTTAAACACACAAAAGATTATTATTATTATTGTTTTATACTCATAGTTCATTTACATCAGGCTCTCTCAGCCTCCGCACTTTAGCATTTGGGTTGGATATTCTTTTTTGTTGGGTGTCTGGCCTTTCTACACTTAGTAGCATCCCTGGCCTCAAGCCAGTATATGCTTCTTCAGTTATGACAACCAAAAATGTCTCCAGACATTACCAATGTATCCTAGGGTATGGATGGAATCATCTTGCCCTCAGACGAGAACCACTAATTTAGATTTACCTAAACACTTAATCCTTCTTGTTTCTATTTATTTCTTCTTGCATCTTCAGTCTTCTATTAGGATTATCTTATTTCTGATTGATGAACACCTTTAAATCTTTTATTGCAGGACAGCTGATGAGCAATTCTATTTTTGGTTATCTGGAAATATATTTTATATCTATTTTGAAAGGCTATATTGTCTGGATATGAAATTCTAGATTGAGGTTGTTTTTGTTTAACATTTTTGAAGATTTAATGTCAATGTCTTCTTGTTTCTGTTATTTCTATTAAGTAGTCATCTGTAAACTAATTTCTCTATTAAAATTAATTTTTTTCCTGCATGCTTTGAAGGTGTTCTCTTTGGCTTTGGCTTTCATCTATTTTACTCTATTATACTTATGATTTTCTTTGTTTTATCCTCTTGGAGATTTGTAGCTTTTTTGAAACTGTAGCCTCAGATTCATCAAATTTGGAAACTTCTAAGCCCTTATCTCTTTAAAGAATACTTTCTTCTCATTTCTTTTTCTTTTTAGAACTACAATTATATCTATGCTAGTCTTCTTTTGTCTTTTTTGTTTAACTTATGAAGTGATCCCTCTAATATTTGGTACCCATCTGACACTCTACATAGTTATTACAATGTTACTATATTCCCTATGCTATACTTTACATCCCTATGACTGTTTCTTAAGTGCCAATTTGTACCACTTAACCCCTTCACCTTTTGTACCCAGCCCCCCAACTCTCCAGATCCTCCCTCCCATTTGATAACCATCAGTTTATTTTCTGTATCTATGAGTTTGCTTCTATTCTGTTTGTTCATTTTTTATTATGTTTTTAATGTCTCTTTCCCTGTCTTGTATTTTTCATTCTTGTGTGACTTTGTGATTCATCCTGGTTATTCTTTTAATGTATTTCCAGTTCACTAATTTGCTCTTCTACTGTGATTTATCTGCTATTAAATCTACTCATTGACTTTCTTTTTTTGTGTGCGGTTGGGTTTTTTTTAAATGAGTTTTCAGTGATTTCTTCTTATTGCTTCTGACTCTACTGAAATTTCCCATCTTGCATTTTACTTTTTTGAACATATTTGTCATGAAGTTCATGTCTGAAGACTCCATATTCTGGACCATCTATATGTCTACATCTGTAGTCTGTATTTCTTTAGGTCTTAGGCCATGTTATTCTATTTGTATGCCTGATGGTTTTTACTTGAGTGTCAGACATTGAATATGAAAAATTATGAAAATACTTTGAAGCCAAAGATAATGTACTCTTTATCCCAAAAGGATTTACATCTGCTTTGGATATAAGGCTGAGGGCACTACTAATTGAGTGATTTGAAGCACTTTGTGTCCTAAGCCAAGCCTGGTGATTTCACCAGTATCACTCTTCCCTACTGGCCCTGCTGCTTGCTTGGCCCTTTTCCTTGAGTTTCGTCTCGCTCTTGCCTAATGAGGCTGTTTTAAAGCTACTTACTAAACTTTTCAGCCTCCAGAAGACAAGCTGCTCCAAACCTTTTTGGGTTTCAGTCCTATCCCATATGTTGGTCCTGTTATTTTCCTATCTTGTTTATTCTCAGCTGGTCAGTCATTATGAATTGCCTTGCCTGCCATTATTAGAAGCAGAAGTTCCCTCAGATTCATTTTATTTCCTGTTGAAATATAGCCACTTCCTAAAAGAGAATGTTGTGTGATGTAAAAAAAAATTAAATTCTTACATCAGAAAATACTCTGGTTGGTTGGATATAGAATTATTTCAAAATTATTTTCCTTCAATACTTTACAGATATTATTCCATCAGTTTTCTTTTATCTAGTGTTACTGGTGAAAAGTTTAACTTGAATCTGATTTTCATTTCTTCCTGAGAAATCTCATTTTTCCTCTTTGTATAGAAGTCTTTCATATTTTCAATTTATCTTTAGTATTCACAAGTTTTACTATAATGTACAGGGTTGTGTGTGTGTGTGTGTGTGTGTGTGTGTGTGTGTATGTGTGTGTGATTTATCCTTTTTGGGATCTTTTAATCTACCAACTTCTTTTTCTACAAGCCATCTTTGACTTAGTTCTCTCCCATGCTACAGCTATATTTTCCCTCTGAAAATTCATTCTCATGTTTTGCTGCCTTCAAAGGACTCCTCACAATTTCTGTCTCATCAATTCTTCTTATTTTCTAGTGTAGCTATATATTCATGTGTGTATTTGTAATATATCTTCTCTCATTTCTAGGGATCTGGTGAGAGAAGAGGGTGTGATATCTGCTCAGTTTGCCCTCTTGAATCTCAATAGTTGTTTTATAACTTTATCCAGTAAAATAATTTTCCTTTTGTCAGGTTGCCTTTGGGTCATATTCTGACTTGCCACCACTAAGGCAATCTTTATGTCACCTAACCTCAGCACTGCAATCTTGGTTCAGTATATACCATGTAAAATACACACTTTTTGCCCAAATTTTTGAGGGAAAAATAAGGATGTGCATTATACATGAATATAATCATTACATACCTGGGATATAATAATGGGTATAATAATCCTGTGTATAATGCACACAAAAACGTGGATGCTTATATACATGGGAGCACATTATACACTGCAAAATACAGTATGTACATTAATTACCGCATGCATTTTGAAATCTTTACTGTAGGTCATTGAATGTATTGGAACAACTTTTTGTAATCTACTGTTAGAAAAACTAACATGCAAAATGCAAGGAAACAGCAAACCCTTTAGCTGATTGGCACCTAAAATTGTTAAAGTGAATTCAGAGAGCAAGCTTACATCAGAAAGGAATAGCAATAGCAACAGGAGAAAGCTTATGAAAAGTTGGACTGTGAGATAGGCTAGAAGTAGAATTAGCTGAGTGGCAGGACAAGTGGGTTCTAATGGAAAGCATAAATGCTATGCTGTGCATTAAACATACATGGAAATGTCCTTGCTTTGACAGTCATATATGTAGGTGTTCCTGTGGTAGGAGAGAGTTATGAGCTGCTGGGCCCTGGAGTTGAGGGCTCTGGAGATAAACTTCTGTGAAGGTCTAAGACTGTCCCTGTGCTTCCTGTGAGCACTCACTTAACAAGATGCCTGAGCTCACCTCTCTCGCAATTTTCCCATCCTGGAAACTGGCTCCCTTTGTCTCCCTCTCCCCCCTGCAAATCAGCCTACTTTTACTAATCCAGAAATGTAAATAGATATGTACAGAAATGAAGTTACAGAGCTATCTTAATTTTAACAAAATCAAAATCTATACAGTCTCATTGAAATATTTAAATAACTTTTATCAAGTGGCCTCTCAATACCAGTTTTATAAGTGATGCCTAGGCCTTTGTTATTTCCAATGATTTATAGAATTTTACATTGCATTTAATGTCTAATAAGCAACTTTGCAATTGAGTTAATGTGTTTCTAGAGGTAAAATTTTGTGGCACTCTAATTACAGTAAATATTATTTTGATCAAGTAAATTCTTCCTTGAACACATACTGTGTTTACTCCAACATTAAATATCACCTGTAAATCTTGGTTAACTTACTGCTTCCTTAAAGTTTTTATCAGCATTAGTAAGTAACCTTTTAAAATATTAAATTTAGAATTTTGAACTTCTACATGAAGGCATGAGAGATTTCTGTTATCCCTTTAACTTCGTTCAACAGGCTTAAAATGAAAAACATTTTTAATTAATCCTTTGTGGTCTTTTAGGACTTCAAAACAGAGAAAGAAATTTTCAAACCATCTGATAGTTCTATTGAGCATTTAATTCTATTTAAACATATAAACATATATTTAATCCCAATTCTGTAAGGTGTGAAATACATGGAAGTTTTCACACTGAGGAGAAAAAGTAAACAGAATAATATGCACATTTTTAGTGTATTAGTAAGAGCTAATTTCCTCAAATGTTAAACATATATACAACATAAAACACCCAAATATTAAAACCATTCCACATGCTTTAGTAGAAACTTAAAATTTAAAACTTTTTTACCTGGAAATCTAAACTAAGTAGGCTTTGCTTGGTGTCATTTAAGTCTCCAGCTGAAAATGAAACAAAACCAGAGCTTTCTTTGAAACAAAGAACAGAATGGAATGTTGAACAATGTTAACTGACTTCTTAGCAAACTCTAAAGTAACTGCTTCCCTAGGGGATAAATGCCTTTCAGTTCTTTGTGCAGAAAATCAGCCAAGAGAGTAACCAGGAAAAATGGTTACTAGGGGAAACAGTTTTTCTAAATCACAGGAAAAGTTGAAAGCAGCAGTGAAGGGAGAAAACAGGTCACTTTAGTCTGTAGGCTGAGAAGGCAAAGTTGGAAGCACAAAAAAGAAACTTAATTAAGAAATCTGTGCTTTTTATAGGCTATTTGCATAAAAGTCCTTAACATTTATGCTAACCTAAGGGATACCACTTGAGTTTTATCAAATTACTGAGATGCCATTATTGTCAAGTTAGAGGAACTACACTCCTGGAATGCCTTAAATTGGAGTAATGTTAATTAACTCTCATCATCTCTACTTCTGCCCACCTGAACTTCACATGCAGTATTAACAAAACATAAAGCTGGTAGTAATGTTATTGAAATTATGTAACTTTCCACCTTGAAGCAGTAACAGGAAAATATGTAAGGGAGCTGTGAGGTTTCTGGTCATGGTTATTCTGGCAAATCGACTAATGTACTTTACCTCCATTTCTTCATCTGCAAGTGAGCAGGTTCAGGTCAGAGGCAGGTCAGGGTTCCAGGCTCGCATCATTGTTTGCAGATGACTTTGGGTGAGTTACTACTATTGCTTTCTAAAGTTTTTTTTTTTTTTTTGTACATTAGGGATGATAATACCTGCCTTTCACATTTATGTGCAAATATATGAATAACACATAAAGTGCTTATCATACACTAGGTAATGCTATAATATTTATTGTATCATTTATTTAGTATATGTTTTTATTTTTTAAGTATATTTTATTGATTGTACTATTACAGTCATCCCATTACTTTTTCTCCCTTACAATCCCCTCCTCCCTGCCCCTCCTCTCCCACCAGCATTTCCCCACCTTAGTTCATGTTCATGGCTCATGCATATAAGTTCTTTGGCTTCTCTATTTCCCAAACTGCTCTTAACCTCCCCCTGTCTATTTTGTACCTACCATTTATTCTACTTATTCCCTGTACCTTTCCCTCTATTCTCCCCCCTCCCCTGATAACTCTGCATGTGATCTCCATTTCTGTGGTTCTGTTCCTGTTCTAGTTGTTTGCTTAGTTTGTTTTTGTTTTGCCTTTTTTTTTTTTTTAGGTACAGTTGTTGATAGTTGTGAGTTTGTTGTCATTTTACTGTTCATAGTTTTTGATCTTTTATTTCTTAGGTAAGTCTCTTTAGGTAAGTCTCATGTCATATAATAAGGGCTTGGTCATGATGAACTCCTTTAACTTGACCTTATCTGGGAAACACTTTATCTGCCCTTCCATTCTAAATGATAGTTTTGCTGGACAGAGTCATTTTGGATGTAAGTCCTTGCCTTTCATTACTTGGAATACTTCTTTCTAGCCCCTCCTTGCCTGTAAGGTTTCTTTTGAGAAATCAGCTGATAGCCTAATGGGTACTCCTTTGTAGGTAACTGTCTCCTTTTCTCTTGCTGCTTTTAAGATTCTCTCCTTAGCTTTCATCTTGGGTAATATAATTCTGATGTGCCTTGGTGTATGCTTCCTTGGATCTAACTTCTTTGGGACTCTCTGAGCTTCCTGGACTTCCTGAAATCTATTTTCTTTGCCAGATTTAGGAAGTTTTCCTTCATTATTTTGTCAAGTAATGAAGGAATGAATTCAATTTCTTGCTCTTCCTGTTCTCCTTCTGACACCTGTGTGATTCAGATGTTGGAATGTTTAAAGTTGTCCCAGAGGTCCCTAAACTTCTCTTCATTTTTTTGAATTCTTGTTTCTTCATTCTGTTCTGGCTGAATGTTTATTTCTTCCTTCTGTTCCAAATCATTGATTTGAGTCCCAGTTTCCTTCCCATCATCGTTGGTTCCCTGTGCATTTTCATTTACTTCACCTTTCATATCCTTCACTTTTGCTTTATTTTGAGACCATACTGAAACATTTCTGTGAGCATCCTGCTTACTAGTGTTTTGAACTCTGCATCTGATAGGTTGGCTATCTCTTCATCAGTTCCATTTTTGGAGTTTTGATCTATTCTTTCATTTGGACTGTATTTCTTTGTCTTAGCATACCTGTTACATTGTAAGGAGCAGAGCCTTAGGTATATTCCAGGGCAGGACAACCCAGGTAGCTGTGTTGTGGCACTGTATATGGATGGGAAAGGGGTCCAAGAGGGAACAATGCCACTTGCTCAGCTCTCAGCCAGCTTTCAGTCACTTCCCCCACTCCCTACAAGCAAATTGGACCCTCCTAGTGCTGATTCTCGGATTAGTAGTTTTGTTTTTGTTGGAGACCCCCCGTGGATCTCTCCAACAAACTCTCCTGTCAGGCTGGAAGTCTCTGCCACTGGGGCAGTCCCTGAATACTTTCACAGCCAGAGGTTTTGACATGTTCTGTTCCCTCACTGGAACCATAGGTTGTGCAGTCTGTCTTACTCCCCAGCTGTTCCTCCCAGCTTATCTGCACACAAACATGGGACCACCTGCTCCACCACCTGCTGCCTTGCCTGCCTGGTCCTCCAGCCACTGCCTTGCCATAAGTCATTTCTTCCTCAGCTGCCCACCTCTGCCCCTCCTACTAGTCTGAAGAAATATTTCTTTCTTTAACTCCTCAGTTGTCAGACTTCCATACAGTTCAATTTTCTGGCAGTTCTGCTTATTTTTTGTTTTTACATTTGTTGTTATCGTTCTTTTGGTTGTACAAGGAGGCAAAGTGTATCTAACTATGCCTCTATCTTGGCCGGAAGTCCAAGATTCTTGTAAAATTTTCCTTCTTCACTGATAACGAAGCCTCTGAGGGCATCTCAGCAAGGATGCTGGACATGGGTGCCTTCCCAGGTTAATCTGTTAGAGCAGGAATATTCTCAGTAGGTTAAGGTCATTAATTCCTGGTGAGAATTGTTTGTACCCTCAGTGATCCAGGATAAAGACAATGCAGAGGAGGCTCTGAGAAGCAGCCATTTTGTCCTGCTGCTACTGTGGGTTCTTTTCTCAGGTGAGGATATTGCTCAGGAGTCAAGTTTGCATTTTGATGATGTGCCTTCAAAGACTTCAACACAGCTCTTTCATCACCTTTCATCACACTCATAAGCAGAAGGACCTAGAAATGCTGAAAACGCTACTACCTCCACTGTAGAAAATGCAAATGTGGGGATTTCTATGCCTTTATTGACCCTCAGGCTTCATACATACAGCAACATGGTCTGACCTCCTCAGTTTTAAACTAGAAAGACCAAAACCAGGAAGGCCAGCATACCCTTCCATATTACATAGCCACTTCCCAATATCTATTTTTAAAATTCTTATTATTCTACCTCAGGGGTCCAATTATTTGACAGGTAAGAGCTACATTTTTGTTTTCCCAAAACCTTAAAATGGCCTGGACAGATTAAATCAAGATAGTGGACTAAACACATGGGCCAACCAAATTCCTAAAAAATAACAGAAAGTACATTTGTTTTTAAAAAATGTAACACTGCACTACAAAATAATTAGTACTGTTAGAAAACAAGAAATTCTGAGAAGTTTCTTTTTTTAACTTTTTTTATTGTTATTCAAGTACAGTTGTCTCCATTTTCCTCCCACCACTCCCGCAAACTCCAGCTATCCCCACTTCCCACCCTTGATCTTATCCCACTTTGGTTTTTATCTATGTGTCCTTTATGGATGTTCCTGATAACCCTTTCCTCTATACCCCCATTATCCACTCCCACCTCCCCTGTGCTTACTGTCATTTTGTTCTTAATTTCAATGTCTCTGGTTATATTTTGCTTGCTTGTTGGTTTTGTTAATTACATTCCTTCTTTCTTTGTGCTGCGTAGTATTCCATCGTGTAAATGTACCATAGATTTTTCATCCATTCATTTACTGATGGGCACTTAGGTTGCTTCTAGCACTTGGCTGTTGTAAATTGTGCTGCTATGAACATTGGAGTGCATAGGTTCTTTTGGATAGGTGTTTCAGGGTTCTTAGGGTATAATCACAGCAGTAGAATTGCGGGTCAAAAGGCAATTCCCATTTTAGTTTTCTGAGGAAATCCCATGCTATTTTCCACAGTGGCTGCACCAGTCTGCATTCCCACCAACAGAGCCTTAGGGTTTCATTTCCTCCACATCCTCTCCAACACTTGTTTTGATTTGTTTATGATGGCCATTCTGACTGGTGTGAAGTGGTATCTCATTGTGGTTTTAATTTGCATCTCTCTGATGACTAGTGATGCTGAGCATCTTTCCATGTGTCTCTGGATCCTCTGTATGTCCTCCTTGGACAAGTGTCTGTTCAAGTCTTTTGCCCACTTTTTAATTGGGTTTTTTGTCTTCCTGGAGTGCAGTCATATGAGTTCTTTATGTTGGGAATCAACCCTTCTCCAAGGTATCATTGGCAAATGTGTTTTCCCATACAGCTGGTCCTCTTTTTATTTTAATACTGTTTTCTTTAGCTGTGCAGAAGCTTTTTATTTTGATGACATCCCATTTGTTTATTCTTTCCTTTATGTCTCTTGCTCTAGGGGCCATATCAGTAAAAATTTTGCTGCATGGAGCAGCTGAGATTTTTCTGCATCTGTTCTTTTCTAGAATTCTTATGGTGTGAGGACTTATATTTAAGTCTTCTATCCACCTTGAACTTATTTTGATGTATGGTGTAAATCGGTGAACAAGGTTTATTTTTTTGCAAGTCCAGCTCTCCCAATACCATTTGTTGAAGAGGCTAGTGTTACTCCGTTTTATGCTTCTTCCCCCTTTGTCAAATATTAATTGACCATAGAGCCTTGTGTTTATTTCTGGGCTCTCTATTCTATTCTGTTGGTCTCTGTGTCTAGTCTTATGCCAGTACCGGGCTATTTTGATTACAGTGGCCTGGTAATACAGTTTGATAATCAGGTATTGTAATCCCTCCTACTTTTTTCTTTCTCAAAATTGTTGCAGCTATTCGAGGTCATTTATGGCTCCATATAAATTTTTGAAA